GTCACTTGTTGGACGCCGACTCCAAGGGTATCGTAGTGGCATTTGTCCAGCTGCGCGCGTTTACATGCGATTACCAATGGCCGATGGTCGTCGGCCTGGCCGACCAACAGATAGAGCAACGAGTGGGACCCTCGATCAGCCATTCAAGCTCGATCCGTGACGCTGACGGGTAGGCGAATCTCATTGGCGGTTTAGGCGGCCGATCTAAAGGTTGCCGCTAACTGTGTCTTTAATAAGCACTCGCTGACCATTTATGATTGCGCGAACGCCGATATCGACTATTAGATACGGTAGTTTAATTATTTTCGCATCTTAGTGCAAAATTTCACTGTCATTAATACTATATATAACGAATACATAACTGATCAATTGTTACTTTGACAGTGTGGTTGGTCGGCCGTTCAGTCGGTCAGTCGGTTGACTGGCGGTCGTAGCACGATGGTCGACTGGCTGCTCCCTCCTTTACCTGACGAACGCGTTCCAGATCAGTCAGTCGCGAACACGCTTACTTACTCATGTTGCCACTCGATCCTCGATGCTACCGTTGTCCGACTCGATCGCTTCGGAAACTTCTACCGGCAAGTTCATCACTTACTTGCGCGTGCATATATTGGATTTCGATCGATGTGTCATATAGCGATTTCCTTATTTTGTCTTCTCTCAAATTCAGCACTTGTCCATGCAGCGTGTTTGCCGTCATCACGTGATCAGCGGTCGGCAGCCATCGGTGCTGAAACATTGGAAGTCGACGCACATCCCTGGGAGAATAAATTACATCTTGTCATCGGGGCACTACATGCTCAAAATTATAATAAGTCAAAAGGAGGATTCATTTTATTCCGAATTATCGTACACAATGATAATTTAATCAATAATTAATCAATGGATGTTCATAAGATGGCCCAATTGTGACCGAGCTAACCGGCTGATTACTTCTGGGAACTGCCATTTTAATGAGTATATGTGAGACATTAACAGCGTATGAGCGATGTATATGAACAGCCGACGAACACGTCCGTGGCACTCAGTCGACACCGTAAACCTCAGTGTGTGTGATGGGCGCGTAATACCAGTCATAAGTTGACTGTAATAGCGAACTGCTGTATTTCTATTCGTAGCACTGCAGTTGACTGTCGTTGGCTAAAAGTTGCAGACTGAATTCGTGTGAAGAGGATGGCGTTCATCCTATATGTACGTCCGTATGGCCTTGAAACTCTGATCGTTATTATGATAGGAGTTCGGTTTCATAGTCTGAACAGTCAGCAGTGGGGTTATCGTAATTTAATAAATAAACTTAACAAATTTGTCATGTGACTGAATTCCGACAATGTAACGTTGCTTAATCGTGTTACGTCATTAGAGAAATAACGCTTGTATTGTTACAATGAAATCGGCTATAAGAAAATGTCAATTTAAGCTCAGAAAACGGAAGTCGATTTGTACTTAATGAAATTGTTTTGCACAGCCGTTAGCTAGCAGATATTATTGTTCGTGTACAATGATTTCCGACGTCACCTCTCCAATTTCCCGGCCGAAAATGGCAAACTTGGTCGCTTGGTCCTCCTCGCGAGTTGGGCTCTACCTGTCAGCTAACCACAGCTTTCCAAAACGGACGATCTGAGTTAGCAGCTACCGTTTTTCTTCAGCGTACAAAAACAAAATATTTCCTTATTCATTGTCGAGAACTATATCATGTATTTCATTGGATCATATTTTGTCAGAATCTAGTTCGTGCGACCAATCGTCGACTAGAACAGTAACTTTCTCGATGTTAGTTGCGCGTTTATGAAAGTCATAATGTCTTCGACTTTAAATGACACAGATTCTGGAACTTGTTTAGAAGCAACTATAAAAAACAGCGTTTTATGAAACCATATGAACTCTGTTAAACTTTGCGTTCGCCTCGACAAGCGTTCGTGTGGCTACGGTCGTCGGCCGCTGTTGTCTGTGTTACGGTAGTAAGTCGGGCTAAGTGCTGATTTTCAGGCGCCAAATTGTAAAACGTCCTCCACTGTGCCGGTGATTACCGATCGTCGTTTGTCGGCGAACGTTTTTACGACTTCACATGAAAATGACGAAATTCGGTATAGTGGCCGCCTGTATGCAGTATCGACATTTTGGCGATGATGAAATCTGACTTTTCATAATGATGCAAGCTGTAATTTATTAGCTACTGTTTACCCTAAAATCACAATAATTGCATTTCATGTGTGCGTTTATGGCCGCGAATAACGTAAGCGCTACAAAGGCGTGCTAAATCAAATAAACCGACAAAAATCGAACGGTCATCACGGGTGCAATTGGCTTCCGAACGGCACGGTGCTCGGCGAGTGGTGTTTTGTCGTGTGACCGACCGGAGGCCGTTGTCCATTTGGTGCAGATCGTCGTCGCCTTAATAATGTAATACATGCTTTGGTGTGAACTGAAAACCACAAAGGTTTCTTTGGTGCCTGCGAAAAACTTTTCAAATGACGGGTAATAATGGAACGTGCCTCTACAAGCACATGGTGAGCAGAGCAAACAGCAACGCTGGTGTTGCAGGGGTGCCCTGATCACGTGCTGTACTTTTTCCTCGGCTCTGGACATCGCTACAAGACAGTCGGTCGCTCGATCACTCGGTCGGCGGTCGTGCACAATGGCATGATTCCTTGTTCGTGGCCTACCTACCGAGATGTGCTGTCAGGGAGGGTAGGTTCGGAGTTCGGACAAGAAGTTGAAGTTGTTGCGCACGCACAATATCAATGATAAATTATTTGACGCATTTCGATCTGCATATATTTTTCACGGACGAGCAGCCTAAACGGCCATTAATAAGCTCAAACGAAGCTCGGAGATGTTTCGGTCGGCTCAGAAACGAGCCAGCTCAATAAACGTAGTCTTAAGGCGGCATGAACTTCCGGCAGTTTTTCACTCGCAGGCCCTGATTTTGAACTGCTCGCAGACAGCG